TGCCAATTGGTCCAGTGGCGAGAATCTTTGTCTTCTTGACATTGAGCCTTAGTCCATACTGAAGGCTGCAGTCCTTGACCCTTCGCAGCAAGTGCATGAGTTCCTCCTCAGTTTCAGCAAGCAGAGTTGTGTCATCTGCATAACGTAGATTGTTAATAGATCTTCCACCAATCCTGAAGCCACAATTCTCCTCATAGAGCCCAGCATCCCAGATAATCTGCTCTGCATATATGTTGTAGGGGTTCCATGGTGTAATGGTTAGCACTCTGGACTCTGAATCCAGCAATCCGAGTTCAAATCTCGGTGAGACCTGCTTATATGTAGGGAATTATATTTGCACGAACTAGGGAGATAAACTCTATTGATTCAAATACGGTCCTTCACATCAGTATTTGTGCTTCAGTACTCCTCTCGTGAAGACCAATTTTCTATATTTTATGTTATGCATACATACTGTCAATTACCTTTCTGCTCAGCTTCTCTGAAGAAACTCATTATCTCATCACCTTTGTCCATTGTCCTGCAAGTAGGACCTAGAGAAAATGTCTTAATCTGTTGCTGAAACATGAAAATAGGATTTAATCTTTTTTGCTTACAAAATAATTTCTCTTTTAAGAGTCCTGTTCCTTTCTGGTTCTTAAATGTAGCCCAGTTTTTGTGTCAGGTATTGAAAGCATCCAACACAGAGAAGAGTTACCCACTGAACAGAAACTGCTTCAATTGATAGAGAGCAAACATCCTTGGCCGTCAGTGTTACTAGAAATCTCAACAATTGTGTGGCCTTGAAGAACGGCCTAAAAACCAGGAGATTAGGCAAAGTGAGTGTCATTCTATTGTTAGAAAACAGTTTCTTCAGAGCACGTCCTCCAGTTTCAAGTTTTACAGTACACTATATGATGCTTCTTATTTAATAACAGCTTGATGAATTTTCCACAGTGGTTAAGAAGTGGAAAAGGAGAGCAGTATATATTTTCCACATAACAGCATTCTTTCTGGCCTGCAGATCCTAACTAAAATAGACAGCATGTATGTTGGCCATAGCTGTCTGAAAATGTCATGATTTCTTAACCAGATTGTGGTAACAGTATTTCTCGTAGATATGAAATGTGAGATTCTGTCGCAGAGAAATCATGCACCTTCCTTGTGTTCAGTCAGAATATATTCCATTTCCTTTTACCTATTTTTTCTCAGAAGTCACACAATATTGCACTTCGGTGAATATATTGGAAGACAGTCACCAAGATCAAACTTCATCCAAAATCTGAATCGTAGGGCATTGCATCCTCCAGACATGAGCTTGTTGAGAATTCGTGTTGTTAACAGGGGTATGCATATAACAAACGTGAGAAATTGTTTGAACACATTCTCATCAATGTCAGGCATGTGGGAAAACATCTTCAGAATTAAACCTTAAATATTTTAAGAAATTCAACAACTAAAATCTCTATTTTATTATTAATTATAATGTGCATTTACAGAGACTTTGGACTTCCATTTATTCATTCATTGCTGCACTTTTCTCCCTTCCCCCCCGCCCCCAATACACTCTTCTCTTTGAAAACTGAAAGAAAAATTCTTTCACTGTTTTACAATCCCTCTCCCCAGGTTCACTCCACTATGCAGCCTTCGTTCTGGACTCCTGCCATGACAATGATACCTAATTAGACATCCCTTTTAAACAGTTTTCTCCCTCATCTGTTTCAGTGCAGTATACATTATTGAACCCATCTTTCTCAGTCTCTCCCCAACCGCGATGTCAGCCCCATTCTACAACAGTGGCACCATGCAGTATTTGTCCTTTTGTGACTGAGATTTATCACTTATTATAATGTCCTCCAGGGTCACCCATTTTGAATAATATGGCATGAGTTCCTTGTTTTTCAATGCAGTGTAGTATTCCTTTGTGTGACTACACCACAGCTTCTCTATCCATTCATTTGTTTATGGGCACTTGGGTTGTTTCCACTCCTTGCTATTGTGTACAAAGCTGAGATAAGCATGGGTGTGCATAAATCTGATTGGGTATCAGTTATGGTCTCTTTGGTGTGTATTCCCAGTAGTGGAATTGCTGGGTCAAATGGTATCTCTATTGGCAACTTTTTGAGAAAGCGCCCTTACTGCCTTGCATAGTGGTTGCACCATTTTACACTCCCACCAATAGTGGATAAGGGTTCCAGTTTCTCTACAACCTCGCCAACATTTGTTGTTTGCTGTTCTGTTAAATGTTGCTAGAATATCACATGATTTTATTACATGATAAAGGAAAACTAAAGTGACTGAATTGATGACTGATCAAGGATGTGGCAAGAAGAGAGGCTTTGCTTTTCCAATGTTTTCTAACCAGGACAGTGTAGATTACATCATTTTTCTACAGTACCGCACTGTGTCCTACTCAGATGATGCCTTTGAGCTGTGGTGCTGGAGAAGAGTATTGAGGGTGCCATGGACTGCTAGGAAAACAAACAGATTCATCCTGGAAAGAGTTAAACTGGGCGGCTCCTTGGAGGCAAGGATTCTGAGGCTCCATCTAACATACTTTGGACATGTTGTAAGGAGAGACCAGTCCTTGGAGCGGGACATCATGCTTGGTAGGGTGGAGGGACAGCGCAGGAGGGGAAGGCCCTCTATGATGTGACTGGGGTAATGGGGATGGGAGTGTCAGAGACAGTGCGATTGGCGCAGGACAG